AGCAGCCCTGCCCGAGGCTCACGCAGCTGTGCAGGATTGTTCATGGAACAAATTATGTTGTGTCCAAAAAATAAATTTAAGATCCTCTGTGAGATGTTGGAAACAAGAAGGAGAGCTAAAGAATGAGGCTTGTTCCGCCTGGAGAGGAGAAGGCAAAACTCAGTTCCGAAAAAAGGGCTGGCTCTCAGTCTGAGCTGACAGAAGTAGGGATGAGGGGAGATAGGCTTACACTGGGGCTGAAGGGGCCATGCAACCATTGTACGGTACGAAGCGGGAGAGAGTGTCTCTGGGGGAAGTCATGAGCTCCCTGTCCCTGGGGGCATTCAGCTTGTGATGGGGGGAGGGCAGACTTATCAGGGATAATGCGGAGGGGATTCATTTTTCAGAAAAGAGCTGAAAAATTGTTTCTTATCCAGGACTCTCTTTAAAAATTATGGACACTGGGGCGCCTGGGTGGCTCAGTCAGTTAAGCGACTGCCTTCAGCTCAGGTCACGATCCCAGGGTCCTGGGATTGGCTCTCTGCTCAGCGGGGAGCCTGCTTCTCCCTCTCCCTCTGTGATCTCTCTGGCTTTCACTCTTCTCTCAAATAAATAAAATCTTTAAAAAATCATGGAGACTTCTCAAACCAAGATTTTTAACAGTATGGCCCTGCCCCAAGAGAAGGAATATTGACCTGTAACTTCACAAATTCCAACCCCCCCCCGCCCCGGCCATTTACACAATGATATCCACAACTGAATTGTATTTTAGTTCTGAGGTTTTTCCAGAGCAGGCCGTTTTCCCATGAGGTCTTAGCACCACCTAGTGGCTCATTAGACCATTGCAACATCTGCCTGGGTTAAAACAGGATCGTACAATTTACTATCAACACGCTCTTTGATTAGCACAGCAATTCAACAAAAACATACTAAATGCCAGGCGTGGGTTAGGGACTCAGCTAGAGCCTGGGGTGCAACAGTGATCAAATAAGATACGGTCTCCCCTTCATGAGGCTCACAGCCTAACGGAGTAGACAATAAAAAGTAACCAAAGAATTATTATATGTTGTGATGTCATTCAAGAAATAAACCCTTCTGTGACAGAAAATAATGGAGGCAGGAGGAGGCCTCTCTTGAGAAATATGAAATTAACTTGGAAGGATGGGATGAGAGGGGACAGGGGTGCAGAAAGTGGGGGAGGAGGGGCAAGAACGTTCCATGAACACAGCACAGCACATGCTGGGTCGTCCAAGTCCTGGAGCCACCAAGGGCTTGGCTATTCAAGAAAACCAAAGACCAGTGATTGGAGGGAGAAACTAGGAGAATTCCATGTTTATAAACATTTCCTGAAGTGAAAGCCCACAAATGGTTAGAGCGGATTCTTCCAGAACAGTACCTGGTTAAATTTTAATTTTAAAAAAGCGGGGAAAGGAAATGCCATTACGTGAACTTGGCTGTTCATTCCAATCCTGCAGGACCCTACTCAGGGCCATCAGTGTCAGCCACGCACCCCACTCAAGACAGCCTACGTCTGCTCCCACCCCGCGTGCTTCCTCATCACTGATAGGCTTCTGTGTCCTTACCTAACTACACGGGAACCTCATATTAAAAGTCTAGAACAGTGGTTCTCAATCCTGGCTGCAAGTCACCTCGGGTGAATCCGTGTTTGGGTCACACCCCTCACCAGTTAACTCAGCATCTCTGGGATGTGGGCCCAAGGCGCCCAGGCTTGTAAAGCTCCCCAAGGGATTCCAAAGTGGAGCCAAGGTTGAGAACAGATGTTCTGAAAGGATACTTCCCAAGAGAAAACAGAAGAGATCTTTTAAGAAATACCGCTGTTTGGGCCCAACCCGAGATGGCTTTCTGGGCCGTCAGGTGATTCTAACGTGCAGCCAGGAGTGAAGCCTCGGTTGTCAAAAGGACAGCACCCATGCCTCTGAGTTCTGGAGAGGCCCACTGTGGCCAAGGTCACTGTGTAACTGGGGGTGCTACTCTTGAGTGACCCACAGTTGGTCTTTTACTACTACCTGCTGAGCAGCCCAGTCCTGACCAGTGAAGACCACGATGGAGTCCATCCAGGCATCACCTGCCCCAGTCACTTCCCACTGGCCCACCCTAGGCATGCAGCAGCCAAGTCAGCAATGCTGCGGTGAGTTCCTGATGGGCCCGTTACCTACGAACTTCCTCCTGCCAATAAAAAGAACATTCGGGTTACGCTAACAAAGCTCCAGAAGGAACTGGCAACGTGCACTTAACCTGAGAGGTACTGCCTGGATTTTTATATGAGCAATTACAGACGCTATTTTTTTTTTTTTTTTTTTTAAGATTTATTTGTCAGAGAGAGAGCACGAGCAGGGGGAGCGGCGGGCAGAGGGAGAAGCAGACTCCCCGCTGAGCAGGGAGCCTGATGCAGGACTCGATCCCAAGACCCTGAGATCATGACCTGAGCCGAAAGCAGACATTTAACCAACTGAGCCACCCAGGCGTCCCCTGACGCTACTTTTCTTAAAAGAAAACCACTGGCACACATCTCAAGGCCTAGGAGGGTATGTACCAGAAAGGTAATGGCGGTTACATCTGGGTGCTGAAAACCCAGGTGATTTTAACTTTTGTTGTTGTTGTTGCTTATCAGCATGTTCTAGGTTTTTCTATGATGAATCTGTATTAATACAAAAATATTACTTGTGTAATATTTTTTAAAAGCTGACCATAAGCATAAAGAATCAATTCTGTCTCTTACACAACTCAGGAGGTGTGTAGCTGGTCTCCAGGTGTTCAGCTCACAGCTCTTGCTTTTTAGGATACTTCCTGACCTGGCAAACTGGAGATTTTGCCCCCATGACAAGAAGCCAGGGGCCACATCGTACTTTTTTGGTAATCCTGCAGCACTGGTAGGATCAAAATAAACACGTTTATTCATTTTTTGCTGTAGAGAATAAGACCCTTCCTGTGTCTTTTCATAGGAGAAATGGATTCTTCACTGCATATGTGCAGATTTTGTCAGTGTTTTTGCAAAGTATATTCCATGAAACTAGTGTTCTCTGGACAACAGGTATGCAAAAAGAAGAAAAACGGGGGAGTGAGGGAGTTCTGTGAAAGACAGATTGATTTCCTTCCTGCAGGTATCTGCAGGGCCTTGACTACACTCATTCATTGTGAATCTGCAGTAGGAGAATGTGGACTACAGCTCTCCCCAAATTTATCTGGCCATCACTTTCCAGGAAACATCTCCAGGGACCAGCCCTCCCACGAACAAATTTTGGGAAATGCGAGTCTAGCCTTTCAGCACATAGTTCTTTGGCCTTCTACCACAAAGCAGAGTAAGGGTGCCCTGTCCTCTGTCGTGAGTGCAGGCAGGGTGCTGCACAGAATGAGGTTAGGTGACTCACAGCACACTCCGACTTCTGTCATCCAGCAAGCTAAGGCACAGATGAATTGGCTTAGAGCCAAGAAAACAAATGAGGAATGGCCCAATAAACATTCACAATTGAACATCAGGTGACATTTTATTCTGTTTACAGACACCACTAAGTTACACTGGTTTTTTTTTCTGTCTCATTTGGGTTGGACACAAATCCATCCAGAGGCATGGTGAGAGGAAACACATCAGACATTTCATTAGCTCCTATAATACTTGCTCTCTCTCTCCGCAACCCGTCTGCCCCAGAGACATTTCTACCAAGTGCGACTGCAAAAACCCAATACATTTACACAAAATAACGCCTAACTGTACATTTAAGTTAAAAAAAAACCCATTCAGGCTCTGCTAGAAATGTGTGGTAGGAAGGCAAGGGTCTGAGGGTGTGAGACGTGCAGGGTAACTAAAAGTGAATGAGCACCTAGTTTCTCCGCAAACGAAAAAAGCAATGACTGCACTCCTGTGTGGGACAGGATGAGACCCTGCTCAAATGTCAGGTGGACATCGTGACTGCACGAGTGTCTAAAAGAGGCTTGTTGTTTTAATCATCGCCTTGCAGAGGTAAGGATTGCACTGTGTAGCCACGTTCTCCAAAGTGTGTCCCTGAAAACATTGGTCCTACAAAGTGCTCCCTGCAAAAGGAGTTCAGGAATCAAAAGATTTAGAAAATACTGTAAGCTGTTATCCACTTCCTGGAGAGGCACAATGCATGTTCTCACATGGAAGGTTCTAGAAATCCCTTAAAAAGAAATGCTTAGCTTTGTTTAACCCAGAGTTTCCTAAATCAATCTGATGTTAGAATCTTTTTTTTTCTTTTTTTTTTTAGATAACACATTTCATAGAACATATTTTGAGAAACCATCCTCTATGGCTTGGAAAAATTTTCTGCAGAAACAAAAAGCACAGAAAAACCAAGTAACTCCTAGGATCATGTGTTTGTTGGTCGACAGCAAAGAGGACAATGGGTCCTAAAGATCAGAGCCCCATTCTGATTCTGCCCCAACACCTCTGCCCTACGCCGAGCCTGCCTGAAAATAGGCAGCAATCAATTTTCCATGGTTTCCTTCCACATGGTGTCAAGTGTTAGGCATGCTGATTCCGGGAAGCAATCGAACACGGTCCAGATGGGGGAACCCTATGTCATGCACAGAGACCAAGAGAGCCTTTCCCTCTCCTGTAACAATCAAGCCATTAAACAACCATTGCTGCTTATCCCGTGTCTACAAGGCTTTTCAAATACACTTGACAGCCCTTGGTTCCTGATAAAAAAGGAACAAGAAAACATACAGAATCTAATGATTTTCAGCAAGAATGACACAAACCAAGAAATCAAAACACAAAAGCTTTTGGCTATCCATGCCAAATCATTTTCAAGTGTTACAGCAAGGACGGGGAAAGATGGAGGAAATCCATGAGATTACCATGGATTGCTGGAATGGTGTCAGTATTCCATCATTTGCATCATACATTATCTTCATTCTCGTTTCCAAGGAATTTCATGTAATATTTCAAAGCAGAAGATGGCAACAACACAACTCTCCAATGGGGGGACTTGGTAAACAAACAGTCAGCAGGTGTCCGTTGCCAGGATGCGCACCGGCGCTCACACCTCCACGGCCACTCTCGCAAACCGATACTGCAGGGAGGCGGGCGCCCTCAGCAACACAAGGCCCCTCTCCGCTGCTGGCTGGCGGGACAGCATATCCAGCAAGCCTGTCAAGCTAACAAACCCCAGGCCTTCTCCGCCGCCGACGGCCATGGAAAAGTCTCCCTGCGTGACAAAGCCAAGGAGAACTCGGGAGCAGTGAGAAGTCACCACCGGGAGGGGGCCTGACCACAAGCCCAGGGTCAGAGCTGGGTGCCCGGCTGCAGGGTGCGCCCCGGCCAGACCCTCAGGCTCAGCTCGCGCCTGGTTCTGCCTCTTCTCTACCTTATTCCTCTCTTTCTGCTTCCGGATCTCGCTCTTGAAGGGGTCGCTGTGCTTGGGTTCCTGGGGCCCAGAGTACAGCCGATCCTGACGAAGCTGGAGGATGTCCTCCTCGGCTGGGACACAGATCATGGAGTGCGGCTCGGGGCTGCCCTTCCTCAGTAGGGCCAGGCTGACCCACACCAGGGCCCTGGGGAAGCGGTCCAGGAGGGACAGGCAGGCCGCTCTGGTTGGTGCTGGCTGCCCGCTGCCAAGAGCCCGCCGGGCTGCCCGCTGGTCCCCGGAGCTGGGCCCACACCAGGTCGACAGCTGCTTCAGCCATTTCCTACTCCTACGTGAAGCGGGAGACACACGTTTGAGGAGATAGAAAACATGCAGTCAGAAGATTGGGCACTGTTGGAGTTAACTTGATTTTTTTATACTCTATGTGGGAAAGCATCAAAACGGTAACTTTTTTTTTTAATTGAAAACAGACATTAATACATCTTTGTCAGGATATTTTTATGTGTCTACTATTAGATGCTGAAAGACTAAAGGTTTCAGAAGTTGAAGGTAGAGAAAAGAATCTAAGGCTGCGAGAGACAGTCCTATGGAATGAAGGACGGATAGGAAACTAGGAAGTTACCGCACAGGAAAGAAGTACAAGGCCAGAGGGAGGAGCACTTTTTAAAATTCGAAGCACAGAACAGAGGGTAAGTGAAGCACCATGGAGCAGGCAGCGCAGAGACACACTTCGTACAGTGGGCCCTCCGACAGGACAATGGGACCGTGAGCGAGCACCGGGGCACTCCTAAACTCAGGTCATGCAAAAGGAGCCAGAAGAAATTGACTTCAGGGACGTAAAGGGAAGAATGCTTGCTCAGAGTTCACCGAGGGAACGTCCCTCGCAAAGGGACGACTTTGTCAACAAAGACTAAATGAAACAGAAAACAACGGCCTTGGTTTATGTCTGTGGATGACAATACTTTAAGTCACCTGGTCAGTTGGTATCATGCCCCAAATCAAATGTGACTCGGCTGTGTCCCCGGGCTGTGAGACACGGAAGACTGGCTTACCCCCCCAGAGAGCCCAGATGTTCCCTCGGGCTTTGCATAAAGGAACAATTGAGAACATTTACATCCTGTAGCCTGCTCAGGAGGAGAACAATCTAACCCGCACTGGGGGTCGTGGGCACTTACCGCAGAACGCAGGGGAGACTGCCGGTGGCATCCTGGCCCGCTACCCACCCAGTCCCCAGCCGGGCCAGGCACTCTGTAGCCACCCCATCTTGGGGCTTGCTGGAGCTGCTCTGAGATGTGCCCCCTTCATCAGACCGCGGATCCGTGTTCTCAGGTGTGGGAGCGCAAGGCAACTTGTCTCTCCTCGAGTCACTCTCCTCGCCACTTGGAGAAGAGGCTCCAGAGGATTTCTCTTGGGACCTGACTCTTGACTCCCACTCCTGAGTTAACTGTTCCCAGGGACAGCGGAAAGGTGCCAGGGTGCCAAGCTTCACATAGTTGGGCCGTTTTGCAGGAGGGCGCCTAGTGAAAATCAAGGAGGAGAACCAATTTTGAACAATTTAGGATAGGTACCATTAAAATAATTATTTAATTATTAATTGCACTACATCTCTACTTGAAAAACAAACCTACAAAACAAAGTTTTCCAAGAAATATGATAAAGAATAACAACCAACTCTACTGGCCAAGCTTATTTGTTTCCTTTGGTTTTACTTTCAAAAGGTAATACACCCAGCAAAGAGGCCCCGTGTGGCCACTGCACAACTCTAGGGGGTGCCCTTCCTGAAAGACTGCAAGTTCATGGCGTCCCTGGAGTCGTACTGCGATGTCCCTGCGTGTGACAACATTCTAAGTTCGAAGGGAACAGAAGGGGTGGCGGTGAAGTTTCTCCTCCACCCGACCTGTAGCTGGTGAAAAGTGCCCCCGGGGTACCTGCCCCACTCGGAGACCTTTAGAAGGAAATAAATGACCCAGATGCCCTGTAGGAGACCACGTCATTATCTGTTCCATAATATATCCTTCCAGAGACATTTTACGGACATATGTGCAGATATGTACATATTTCTTCCCGTTTTTTTTACCTATTTTACACAAGTGGTGACATACCAGATATAACACTTCTTACTTGTTTTCATTTCACAAAATACCTTGGCGATCATTTCACCTGAGTACAGGAAGAGATCCCTCATTCTTTTGCAAAAGGCTCCCTATCTTATTCCACCGCTGGATTATACCCTCGTTGATTTAGATAGTCCCCTATTGCAGGACATTTTGGTATTTTCACACTTTCGCTTCTATAAACAATGCTGCAATGAATGACCTTGAACATGTCACACAAGCACAAGTATATCTGCAGGAAAAGTACCTGGAATGGAACTGCTAAAGCAAAGACTATTAGCATTTGCAATTTTGAGAGAGATTTCCAAACTCACAGGGTGATAGCAATCGACTTTTTTCAGCAATGTATGAAAGAAGGAGAACCTTTGAGAAATACCACAAGCTAAAGAGAACCACATCCCCAAAAGGCAGGGAGCAGCCAGGCTATTGGCCATTCTGGGCTGGGAGACTCTTAAGGAGCCCCAGAAACCCTCCTCAGACTGAGAGTCTCCTGTGGGACAAGCCCTGATATTCCTTCCCTCACGTGCTTCTTACTATGCGCCATGCCCCAGGGCCCCAGATGGACATGAACCCGCAGACTTAATTGGGGGATCGGTTTGAGCCTCTACTCTGGATTTTGAACCAAATGTGTTCTGACCTCCCAAGAGGGACAGCTGGTAAAAAATGCTCCCATGGTACTTGCTTCACCTGAAGACCTTTAAATGGAAATAAATGAGCTATTTACTGGAAAGAAAAAAGAAAAGAAAAGAAAAGAAAAAAGAAAAGAAAAGAAAGAAAAACAAAATGGTGAAAAATGCTTAAAAGTATTTAACATCATAAGTAAACAAACAAAAAATTAAAACAATAAGATGTCACTTTTTCCACCCATCAGTTTTATCAATATTAAAAGCTGGTAATATCCTATGTTACCGGGAAGAGGGAAAACAGACACGCTTCTAACTTTAGGATACTAATGAAATCCTAAATTAATATAAACAGCAATTTGTCCATAGTACAAAAATTTCCTGGGGTGTGTATCTTTTTTTTTTTTAACCAGAAATCTTATCTATGGGATTTAGTCTAAGGCGGGCAGATGGCCTCCTGACGCCCCCAGACCACTTTTCTCCTTCCTCCTCCAAGACCACAGCTCCCCCTAAGCACGCGCCCTCAGACAGACCACAGGCTCTCCTTCCTCAGCCAGGTCCTCCATCAGCTGCCCACACACCCCCTCCGCCTGCCACACCGTCTTCCCCTCCATCTTGACTCTTGTCACTCAGCAGCTTCAGCATCTACCTAGATCAGCCTTCTAACGCCCTGGCCTACCAGAAACTTCATGTCCTCATTTCTCATCTTTTACTTCACCCCAGACACCCACTCTCCCAGTCGCACCTTCGTTTTGGTCACTGCCATCACCTGCTCCACCTTAAAGTCTCAATTTCCAGCATCTGCCCTCAGAGTGAGGCCTCTCATTCCAGCCCGTTTACTCCTCCCCCACCATAGCTCCTCAAGCAGTGTAACTTACTACTCCTTTACCATCTCCTCACAGCTCCCCACCGTTCTCGCACGTCTCTTGTTTTTTTTTTTTAAGATTTAATTTATTTATTTGACAGACAGACAGACAGACAGAGAGCATAAGCAGGGGGCGCGGCAGAGGGTGAGGGAGAAGCAGGCTCCCCGCTGAGCAGGGAGCCCGATGTGGGACTCGATCCCAGGACCCCGCGACCATGCCCTGAGCTGAAGGCAGGCGCTTTACTGGCTGAGCCACCTAGGTGCCCCTCGCCCATCTCTTCTTGAGTTTAAACTCTCCAGTTCGTAGGACAGTCACTCCCTTACATGCACCCTCAACTCCCTCCCCCTGGCAAAGCCCACCCTGGTTACATCCAGCCCTCCACCTACCCCACGCCAGCCCCGGATCAGCAGGACAGGGCTGGGGAAGAATACCCAGAAGCCCTGAATGGTCTTACTGTAAACATGAAACTCAAGTGCACTCCCTGACATTTCTCCAGTCAATTCTATCTTCCGTGCTTCTGGAAAATGGTCTATATTGATTCCTCTCTCCTTGAATCTCCAACAGCCTCTCTCCCCTTCTTATTCCTGATAACCTCACCTCTTTTTTCACTGAGAAGACCATCACCATTAGGAGAGTTCTACCTAATCTCTGGGCCAGAGTCTACCCTACCTAAATCTGTATTCATATCTCAGAGTCAGCCTTCCAGCCTACTGAAATGAGCGATCTGAGCCTGACCCTATGGAATACCACCCCCCACTTCCCCACTCAAGGGCTTTGCTCTTGCAATGTTAGCTTCCCTCCCCTCTGCTGGATCCCTCCCACCAACCTAGAAACATGTGCTTCTGTCCAGAACATAAGCTCCACGAGGAAAGGAACAGATTTTGCTTGCCTTCCCCTGCAGTAGCCCCAGCGTCTAGAAGGTGTATGACACATAGTAGGCTCTAAATAAACATGTTAAATGAATGAATAAATCAGACAAACAGGTAAAGATGCATATGGAAAGCTGTTCACAGAAGCGCATAGCAAAAAATCAGAAATAGCCTAAAGGGCCACTGAGGAATTACAGTTCATTGACACGGGAGTCCTGGATGCAACTGTTCAGTTCTGTTTTGAGCAAGGGTTGGCAGATGACGACTCACGCCAAACCTGGCCAACTGTCTGCTTTGATATCACCCATGAGCTAAGAATGGCTCTTATGTTTTGAAATGGTTAAAAAAAAAAAAAGAATTATTTTATGACACATGAAATTATATGAGATTCAAACTTGTGTGTCCATAAACAGAATGAGGCTGGCTCACAGCCATGCCCATTCATTTATGTGGCATCTGTGGTTGTCTCTGTGCCACAAGGCAGAGCTGAGCTGAGTGGCTGCCATGGAAACCAAAGGGCCCACAAAGCCAAAAATATTTATCATCTGGCCTTTTACAAAAAGTTTGCCAACACTTGGTTTAGAATCACATTTACTGATATGGGAAAACTATCCATAATAGACTGCTAAATAAAAAGAGCAGGTTTTGAAATAGTATATGTAATATAATCCTTTTTCAAAAAAATCTGTACCTAAGAAAAATTTGTATGGGTAAAGAAATCTAAAGGGTGAGAAATAAGTGTTATTGTCAATTATTACTTAACAAACACATAGAAGACTCTGCTACGTATTCGGAGTGGCACAAAATACACGATCACTGCAAGAGCCCGTAAGCCAGCAATCCAGGAAAGTATCCCTGTCCTTCCACTCACTCATTCATTCACCCGTCACTTGACAAAGTCCGAAAACCTAGCACTGCCTGCCTCTGTGGTTGCAGCGGTGAACAGGAAAGCACAGTCATGGGGCTCCTGGTCAAAGAACTACAGCATCCCACCATCTCCTCATTCATCAGTCAACAAAGAGTTATTAAGGACACCATACACCAGGCCCTGGCTAGATGCCACTACAAACAAGAGAGTCTCTGTGCTTCCGGGAGCCGAGTAGGAGATCCAGGCTCTCAACGGCGGCATGCACTTCACAGGATAAAAGATGTAAAGCCCTTTGCCGGCCACTCCCCCAGTGAGAGAAAAGACAAGAAAAATAAGTCTAGATGGATAGATACCAAAATGTAAAAATAGTACTTCTCTCTCCGGATGGAAGGAATACACCAGTTCACAAAGCATTTTTACACGCTGCCATAGTTTCATTAAAATTTCATAAATATGTATTACCTCTGTAACTGGTCATAAAAAAACACAAATTCTATTTTGAGGGGACAGGGGCTGGGAGCGTAAATCTCGAACAAGCATCTGAAACTCAGGCCCACAGTTTAGGCGTGCACCATCATCAACGTAAGCAAATAATCATGGGTAGGGTCTGTAACCTGGACAGGCCTACCAGAGCCACATATAAGACAATCTCCTAACTTCATTATGTCTTGATTATGTGAACTCAAGGAAAAGTCTATGAAAACTCCATGTTATACAAGAGTTACTGAAGCCATTCCAAATATCACGGGCCAATGCTGAGTAGGCCCTTCTCTTCCTCGTAAGATCTTAGGAAACTAGAGAAGCCGGTTTCGTACCTTTTGTACTTTTCAAGGAGATTCTTGGCTTGCTCTTCAGCAAACACAACCCCAGCGGGGCAGTCTGGGAAATCACTGGGAATGTCAGGTGAACTTTTATACTGTGAGTGCACCACAGACTCTTTTAACCCACCAACTCTTGCGCCTCGATAGATCTAAAAGAAATGTCAAAGATATCCTATTAACATACCAACTTACAGTAAAATTAGTGCTTAAGGTTTGTATGGAGAAAATGGGAAACAACCTAAATGCCCATCAAAAAGAGAATGGATAAGTATGGGATAATCCTACAGTGGGTTATACAGTAGCAAAAATGATGAAACAGAGCTTCACCAATCGACATGGAAAAATCTCAATGCTGAGTGAATATAGTAAGTTGCAAAAGCATATATATGGTGAGGTATATAACATTTAAAAACATGTCAAATATAGTTATTTTATTTGGGAATACAACACATACTTGATAAAGCTATAAAAATAGACAAGGTTGTGACAAACAATGAAAATAGGAATAGTGATTCTTTTAGAAGGAGGATGGGAAATGGAACTGGAGAAGACAGAGTGCTTCCAATAAATCTGTAATGTTCTATTTCTTAAGCTGCATGGCGGGTGAAGGGCACACAGGCATTCATTATATCAGCATCTACACTTTTTTGTACGCTTGAAACAGCTCATAATTTAAAAATTAGAATTATTTAAAAATATTCCCATCCTTTCTATTATTATTATTATTAAGATTTTATTTATTTATTTGACAGAGAGAGAGAGCACAAGCAGGGGGAGTGGCAGAGGGAGAGGGAGAAGCAGGCTCCCTGCTGAGCAGGAAGCCCGACATGGGGCTTGATCTCAGGACCCTGAGATCAAGACCTGAGCCAAAGGCAGATGCTTAATCAACTAAGCCACCCAGATACCCCTATTATTTTTTATTAAGTAAGCTCTACACCCACCATGAGGCTTGAACTCACGACCCGCAGATCAAGAGATGCATGCCCTACCGAATGAGCCAGTCAGGAGCCCAAGAAATATTCCCATTCTTAAATGATTAACCGAATGTCTCTTGTACTAGGCATAATTGCTAAAATTAATTACCTATGTGAATTTAACAGTCTTACATGCCTTTTATACTCTCTAGTTCAAAGTAATATTTAAACTATCGAGAAGAAAAAAAACTACGTTGGATTTTAATAAAATTTTTAGCTGCAGTTAATAGGAAAATACACGTTCAGCTCTTAAAAAATAAAAAGTGTATTCTATACATCTATAAAAATTAGAAAATTACAAAAACTGCTTTAAACTGTAACAAATTCTTTTGAGTAAAAAAAACACACACGTACACACATAACAAAACCTACCTCAATAGTAATTGCCACTACTATTCAAAAATCAGGACACTTTCAAAATCTCAAAAATTCACACCTATGTCGTCCCAACTCTTATTAATGACAACCTGGCTCCGGGGATGTTATGAAGTATCTTGTATCAGAATTCTAGCTACAGGGGTAGAAAAACAGCACTCGATTTCTAAGTGGGGCATGAAATCTGGAACTCTTTTGGCACTTGGTATGGACTAGGAATGTATTTTACACACTGTTACAGTGGGAATGGAAAAGGAACTTACAAATGGAATCCAGAAAGCCATGCCCCAGCCCTTTGGGAGCAGGACGTCCCAGCCGCTTCCCCAGCCTTGTCGCTCATCACCCGTCACCTTTCCTGGCTGCTGAATCAGAAGGATAGGTATCCTGGATTCCTGGGGACCTAGAACAAGCTGTGACCCGGGCACCAGCAATTCACTTCTCTTCCGGTTTAAATCCTAAAGCGGAAGAAAATAATTCAAGACCAACAGCCCTAATTTCCTGGGAGATTCTACTGGCTCTCCCAATAAGCAGCTTTAGAAAGTTAAATGCTCTTTCAAAAAACAGGAAAAAAATGTTCTCAATAAATAAATGGAAGCCATTTGAAATACATGGTATTCCTCCTATAATGATTTTCCTCTATACAATTGCTTTGGTAGAAAATGCCAAATTATCTTTTTTTTTTTAAGATTTTATTTATTTATTTGACAGACAGCGAGAGAGGGAACACAAGCAGGGGGAGAGGGAGAGGGAGAAGCAGCTTCCCATGGAGCAGGGAGCCCGATGCGGGGCTCGATCCCAGGACCCTGGGATCATGACCTGAGGCGATAGCAGATGCTTAACAACTGAGCCACCCAGGCGCCCCCCCGCCAAATTATCTTAAATTTGAGCTGCAATATACCAGATGATTCAAAGTTATATAATAATCTACATCCATTCTGCTAATCTCTTACATCAGGATTAGTTTTATATTTTGATGTTCAGTCCCTACATTTACTTTGGTTAAGATTTGTTGTTAGGAGGTAAAAATAAAAAAAGGTACAAACAATAAACAACTTCTCAAGGAAGGGCAAGTGGGAAAACACTGACTCTTGAGAAGTTTTCTCACCAGGTCTTAAAGATTTAAAAGACAAAATGCTATAAATTATTGTTATGAGGACTGTAGGGAGCGGTGAACAACAGCCTCTAGGACTTGTCTTGCCCGCTGTAAAAAGAGATGAACGGGCAGGAGAGAAGTCTAGCACTCACAGGAGAGACTATTCAACAGACTGCCTCCACACGGGCAAGTCAGCCTGCTACCTCACGGATGCTCCTCAAGCATGACCAAGTCCTGATTCTCCTTTTCACCTCTCGTTGAGTTTCCACTACCATCTCTACACAGTGATAATAACTCCAAAATATCCATCTCCTCAGCCCTGACTTCCTCCTGTGATCAAAACATGTCTCCTGGGCATCTACACTGGGGAAGTCCTGAGGACCTTCCAACTTAGTTTATCCAGGATTGAATTCATCTTTCCTATGGCATCCGCTTTCCTCGTGTGTTCCCCACCTAGCTGGGGGACTCACTCATTCATCCATTTACATATTTGCTCTTCATTCATTTACTCATCCATTCAAATATTTACTGAGTATATTTTATGTGACAAACACTCTTCTAGAACCTGGGAATACAACAGTGATAAATCAGGCTCTGGATCTCTTTTACCTGAGGTACCGAATCCAAGCTAGACTCTTAGGAGCTAGTCTACAAGTCTCCTCCTTTCCCACTTCCCACCATCCCATCAACTACTGTGTCTTGTCAGATTTACCTTCAGGAGTATGTCTTCAACCCCAGCCCCTCCACTCCAGCCACACCACCTCAACTCAGGTCCCCATCGTGTCCTCAACTAAGGACTATTTCCAGGGTCTCTTTTAAGGCCATCCAACCATAAGTCCTCTGTCCAGCTCTTCCACCCGCCCCCCATTCTTAGCCTAATCTACCTTCCACAGTGCTTCCAGAGGGAAATCTGATCATGTCATGGCCCAGCTTAAAACCCTCAATGGCGTGCTATATTCTCTGCCCAAATCCTTAAAATGCCTCAAGGTCTCTTACGCTCTGACCCCTATTTATTTCTTCATCTCCTGCCCCACCCTCAACTCCAAACTACTGACCCACTTAGAGATTACTGAACACATCATCCTGGGCCCCTGGACATGCTGGTCTCACTTCCAGCAACCCTTTTCTTTACTGCAGCCTTGCCTCCTGGCCCCCAGGAAGTCTGGTTTAATTCTGTTCACCCATCTAAGAGTCAGCCCAAATATCAGCTCCTCCACCCAGGAGGCTTTCCCCAATTTCCCTAGTCTGGGCTTGGTACCCCTTCTCTGGACTTCCTTTGACCTGTACTTCCTCAAACATACCCTAGCCACCTATCCTATCATCTACTATGATCCCTGGTCCTGGTAGGAGCTCAATCATTATGAAATTAAAGATAGAACATTTAAGGGAAAAAGAAAACAATAAAAGAAAAACATGTATTTAAACCATGGAATTATCATTTTAAGAAAAAGTCTTTGTAGTAACTTTTTCTAGAGATTATTCTTCTCTAAGAACAGAAAAAAATCCTAAGTAAGGGATCAATAAATCGAAAATAAAAGGAAGTCTATGGGATTCTATAAAGGATGAAAACTTTTACAGCATCTAGAGTGAGGAATTTCACCCTGTGTTCGGGACTTGACCAATAATCCTTACACCATTAGTTACCTGATCCGAGATTTTATTCTCTGTGACATTCTTACAGATAGCTTGGTTCCAAATAAAGCTATGCGCACAGTCCACAGGTACACCCTCCAGAAGCAGCTGTCTAACTTTCTCATTATCTAAGAGGGAAAAGAAAAAGCCTTCAAACTACATCCTTTAGATCAGTGAAGTCAAACTCTAAACATTGCCGGTTGACCTCCTGTTACAAGAAAATATTTTCTAGGCGCTCACTTAACTTCTCTAGAAGAATTTATTTGACTAGAAATTAAGCTACTCCTATACCTGGTTTCATAATCTGCAAAAGAGCAAAGGCTCCTAAACTTATTTTTTTGACATTTATTTTTAGTGTATAAGATATAAATATCATGTTCAGCTGCATCTTAGTAACTGCCTAATCCCACATTTAAGATAACCAAATTCTAGGAACCACTGAACGGGTGAACAATTTCTTTATAATGTGCTAGGACAGTACAAGCCATATTTTAACTACTGGTTTCAGGGCTCTTTATATCATTCCTGGTCCAACAGTTGTGAGCCAACAGATAACAGCTTTTTCTCCTGCTCTATTATTTCAAGTCTCTTATAATCCTTTTTCATTATTTATTCCTTCTGTAAAACATGTTTTTCTCATTCCTTTAGAATGAGCACATTTTCTGTGAAATAATATTGTTTCGTCCCTTTAAACTGCACCATGCCAGAAAGTACCCTAGTGGGAAGAAAGGAGAAACTTTTTCAATTATAAACATATATATCGATAGAAGAGATTTCCTACATGAAGTCATTGAAACACCAGAGAGAGGAAAATCTTCCAACTCTATTTTTTGGACTGAAAAATTAAAAGAAAGAAAAAAGAAAATCAGACAATTCATGTGTTTTGGCTAACGTCTAAACCACCTACACTGAAAGGTCACACTCAAAGGCACATACCTGCATGGGGCTGATGGCTGGAAAAAAAATAAGTTGGAAGCGACTGGGCCTTAAGGTGACAGATTTTAGGGGAGAACAGAGATAGAGAATATTACATTGATGAAAAGATCTGAGATAAAAGCTCTTTAAAGCAGAAACTGCTTCTAGGCCGCTGGTGTCCCTCATGGAGACAATAACCCCCAGCATCTCGAGTACCAGTGCTGTGTTCTGTGAAAGTTCCCAGAGCCTGTCTAGGAGCCAACAGGCTCCGTTTCAAACAGCCTCTCCACCCACAACTGCTTTCCTGTGGAGAGCTGCCAATGATGTGAGTGACAGAACTGAGGCTCTACAAACGACAGGGCTGATACTGAGGATGTAAAGGCACAGAAAGGCCACCTCATCTTCAAGTATTCTAAACAACAGTAATAAATAAATAGATGAAACAACGTAAGTAGGACATCCAGACAATGGAATATCATTTGGGGTTAAAAAGAAATGAGCTACCAAGCCATGAAAAGACATGGAGAAGCCTTAAAGGCTTATTACATAGTGAAAGAAGATAATCTGGAAAGGCTCCATTTTGTACGAGTCCAGGGAGATGACATCCTAGAAAACAAAACTAGGAAGACACTAAAAAGATCAATGGCTTGGGGTGGGGGCAGAGAGAGAGAGGGAGGAATAGGCAGAGCACAGATTTTTAGAGCAGTGAAACTATTTTATGATACTATGACGATGGATTCATGTTGTTATAATTTGTCAAATCCCACAGAATATAAAACGCCAAGAGCGAACCCTGATGGAAACTATAGACCTTGGGTGACAATGATGTCTCAGTGCAGCTTCATGGAGGCTGTGCATGTGGGGGCAGGGGAATACAGGAACTTTCTATTCCTTCCACTCAACTTTTCTGTGAACCTAAAACTGTTCTAAAATATAAAGTCTATTTAAAAGAGACTAGAGTATGTCTAAAGGCAAAGGGAAGAGGCCCTTTTAGGTCAAGAGTCTATTACTGAGGAAAAAAAGAGTATTACCAGCTGAGTCAGCATGTACCGAAGTGGGCCTAGAACGAATACTGACTCTGAATGTAATTCTAAATCCTTGGCCCAAGACTCAAAGCATATTTTCTTTCCTACCCAGGCAAAGGCCTCTAATTGACTAAACAACTGCAGAATAACTTAAAGGTTGAAGGAAATAGCTTTTTTTCTCCTTTCTTAAATGTATTTGAAGATGGCCAAATTTTAAATTACAACCTTCTTAAGTTTTCCTTGGGGAGGCAAAAGAAATTAAAGTTTTCCTCATTTGGGAATCAAATAAACCAAAGTTAGTCTTCAAATCCACTCTATTTTAAGTTAAACATGCAGAACAGTTAAAGAGGACCAGCTGAAGCTATGAGGGCTTTTTTTCCCAAGAGCACGGACAGAGAAGTCGGTACAAAATCACCAATAATTGGACACTTCACAAAGTCACCGCAGCTCAGTGCTCTAAAGGTGCTTGGGGTTTCACCTATCACTCTAAAGGCAACGTGATTGATTCTTCCTGTGTTCTGGGTACACACTATCAAAGAGTACATAAAGAGAAAGATTATAAAGAGCCCATGAGCACATGTAAAGCATTTTCTAAAGCAAATTCATCTCTGGATGACAAAGACTAGTTAAAATAATCTATCAGAGCAAATCAGCAGATGCTAAGGAGAATACAACCTAAAATAACAGTACAACAGGAATTATATTTTAAAATCTCACATGGAAAACCAGTTACTTACATAGTGAAATGCTGTTGTTAAGTTAAAAAGATTTGCAAAAAAAAATTATTAATATTCAATTCAAAATCAAGGATCAAATGATCAAGTAAACTTTTTCACAGCATCTAAAAATATGCCTCCTTAGTTCAAGTTCTTCACTGAAAGAATACTTCCTTTTCTACAACAGTCTTGCTATTCTACTCCCAATACTTCAGACACTCAAATGTGCAGCCATTTTCCCCACAGCAAGCAGTCCTGCAACACCAGCTCGGTGTCCTACAATTCACATCGATTCTGACACTAACCTACCTGGAGATGGGTGTCAGATCCCACAGGTTAAGGGCTCAGTCCCACAAGACTGCCCCTTCTTTGGATGCCAGCTGGAAGTCCCTGGTCTCCTATACTTCTGAGCAGGTGGCTAGAAATTGGTCTCACCTATGACCCCCTCCTCAAATGCAGTAATTTGCTAGAATGGCTCCCAGAACTCAAGAAAACAGTTTACTTACTCCATTACTGTTTTGTTTTGTTTTTTTAAATGAAAAGATTTAACTCAGAAAGCGCCAGATGGAGAGATGCACAGGGTAAGGTATGAGGGAATGAGGTCCTGGCCCTCTTTGGACTCACCACCCTCCCAACGCCTCCAAGTGTTCAGCAAACTGGAAGTTCTCTGAACCCCAACTGTATAAGATTTTTACAGAGGCATAATCAATTAAATCATTGCCCATTGACAAAGTCAAGCTCTCACCCCTGTCCCCCCTCCCAGAAGCAGGTCTGGGTGGGGCAGGGGTAGAAGTGGCCCAGAAGTTCCAACCCTCTAACCCTGTGGTTGGTGTGGTTGGTTCCCCCGGTAACCAGCCCACCATCCCTAGAGACTTTCCACCTCATTAACATAAAAGTTGTGACTGAAGGGGACTTTAATGAATAAGAAAAGACGCTCCTTTAGCCTTTCAGGCTTTAAGGCTGTTATCACTTAGGGAATTACAAGGATTTTAGGAGCTATATGCCAGGAAAGGGGCAGCTGCCCAATGACCTAAATACGTATTTCTTATTATATCGCAATATCACAGTCATATACTCCCTTTCTTCAGAATCCTCATTCCCAGTACACATAAGAAGATGGTTTGTTCTCCAAATCAGGCAAACCCTTCTTTACAGTTTAAGTAGCACCAAAATATCCACAGTCATATACTCCCTTTCTTCAGAATCCTCTCATTCCCAGTACACATAAGATGGTTTGTTCTCCAAATCAGGCAAACCCTTCTTTACAGTTTAAGTAGCACCAAAATTGGTCTGTTTTGTCCAAGTCAAAATAGGCAGAGGATGACTTCAGATATAGGAAGAGAAACTGGAAGTACATCAGAGAATTAAGTTTTCGATCATCATGACATGAGATTCTTCCAAGGATCAATCTTTTATTAACTGACACAGCTCATCAAAGTATATTTCTAACTTTAGTTTTAAATTATCATCCTAGATGATATGTTACATTTGTTAGGAATATTGGTATAATTCTAACTCCTCAAAAAGTTTACTTCTTTATGTAGCTCACGTACCAATACTTCTTCAACGAAATTACCTAAAACAGGTTTTAATAAAATACCACAAGGACTACCAAGATGGTAGGCTTTTATAGAAATTAAATCATGTGTTTCAAGGTAGACTTTAATTTTCCTGGGACTGATTCATATTAAGATAAAGCCTTAAAAAGGATTTAATACATAACTGCCTCATTCCAAAAAAGGATCTGAAGCAATGAGGGAAAGTAAGTGGAGTTTAAACTACAGCTTTAAGGCAATTATGACAGTCAACGTTTAATGCTTAGTCGACACTGCAACTTTTAGGGTTGCACCAGACAATAATGTCATTAAAAAAGAAAAGAGGCAACAACTCATTGAGTAATGTCTGAAGCTCCATAATTAACTAACCTGCCTACAGATCTTCAAACTCTCTCTCTTCCAATCCACCTTTCATGTAAGGTTCTGACAGACTAATAATAAGCTATTAACTACATGTGGAGGTTAAAAAAAAGAAACTGAAGTTATTACTACACATACCTGTATTTTTCCTCTCAAAATCCAGAAGGTAATTTTAATGATTCTTCCAATTAATAGTGTTTAAATGACAGTAAATACAGTGCGATATTATCACCATTGTTGCAAATCCCAGATCAGACCAAAATTTTAGCTGGCTCCTACCCACCTTCCAACGCCACCCCTGCCCAACAACCTCCCACAGGCCACTCTACTGAGTCTAAACCAAGATATCTTACCCTTCAGCACCTGGGATGGCCTTGCCAGGATTCGAACCTGGATCATCTGTATGGTCAGACAGAGGCTTCCAATGAGCACAAGACCAACTGCGGGTGCAGATCCCTTCCTCACAATTAAAATTCTAAAATGCCAGGCATTTTCAGAGACCCCAGTTTGCAGAAAGACAGGTTTTACCAGATACTAAAAAAAAAGAACTCAGGGAGAAAAAATGAACATAAGGATCAGGCTACATGTCTCCTAGCTAAAAGATACTTCCATACACACCATCTCCTTTGGTCATAATCACCGTGAAAGGGAGGCAGGTAAAGATCACCCTAACTTTTTACAAATGAAGTTAATGCAGAGGTGTCAGAACTCTTCTCATGGGACTAAACTACTCAAAATGGTAAGGAAAACCAGGGGTGTCCTAGAAACTTTACCTTGGCATTTTTCTGGATTGGGAAAAACTTTGGACCTCTTCTGAGGCAAATTTATTCGAGGATCCCCAACTGTCAGTCCCAAAACAGTACCGGCCGGAATTTCTGCGGGTGATGTTATTCCTTTAACAAAAACAAAAACAAAAAACCAAGCTTTTACATCATTCACAATATATATATATTTGCTTGTATTTTCAAATTTTTTAATAAAAATTTCTTCTTGGACTATTAAAAAACATATATTCTTCTTTTGTCCCATTAATACTTTTAGAGAGTAAATTAACATTCGTAAACAGTAACGTTCCTTACCAAAAACATTAACATAATAGATTATTTTACAACACGAGCATGTATATTTCCATCAGTGATAACTACAGTAGCTTCACACACAAGCTTAATTGTGTACAGCTAAGTATAGACCTCAGTTTAGTACCTGGTCTATGCATTTACCTATCATATCAGAATGCCAGTTATTCGGAATGCTAACAGAAACTCAAATAGAGTTTCCTATGTGCCCTGAGTCAGGCACCTCTCTTCCGTGTTCTCTTGCCGTATTACAACAAGAAGTTACAAGTTAAAAAGCACTGTTCCGTGTAGTTAGCCCCACTGTAGAACACTCTTTTAGCCCACTTCCCACTCCGCCCTTCTTCCCCAAGCCACCCAGTCAGTATTCCCTCTGAATACCTCCCAACAACTCAAAAACGGCTTCTTGTCTGTGATGAAGGGAAACGCTATCAGGATTCTTACAGGTTTCAATCCACCAGTGGTGAGGTGTCTTCTCTGTGTCCTCTCCCTCCTGAAAAATAACAACTCCTATTCACCAGACAAATAATGAATCAGACCTGATCATTTTGTTATGGCTGAGAGATGTGGGCAACTGCCACCATATTTAACACAATAATTCACACCAGCCTAACTACTCTTCCAATTAGAGGCAACGACATATACTTCTCTCAAGATTTCACACACTAAAACCCACAGCCCTGGTTTCCAGAGAGACCCCTGCGTTCTTCTCTCCTCACACTCCTGACAAGAGGCCTGCTCCTTGCTCCTCTCCCACTACTGCCAAGTGCATACCAATTTAAGCAGTAACACCCTCCCCGCCCAAGAAAAACCAAACCCAGACTGTTTGAAGCAATCTGCGGCACATGGATATCTTACAATTACATTATTCCTAGAAACTTCAAACAAGATAAACAAATACTTTACTTATATTTTTCCCAGACAGAACCAGGAATTGAGCAAGGTTTCAAAAAGCACCTCAGGGGTGCCTGGCTTGCTCAGTCGGAAGACAGTGCGACTCTTGATCTCGGGGTCATGAGTTCGAGCCCCATGTTGGGTATAGAGATGACTTAAATGAATAAAAAAATTAAAACTTAAAACAAAACAAAAAGACAAAAAAGCACCTCAGCACCAGGTGCACACCAAGAAAGAGAACCTACAGCCATGATTCACACTGAAGTTCACTGAAGGAGGATATGCTCCTACACATTCTACAGAAGCAACCTGGGAACATACGGGCTATTTACCTCATAGAAACTCAGGTAGTATAGCTTGTGGGTTTAAAGTACAGGCTCTAGAACCAAACTTCTTAGGTTCAAATCCTCCCTGAGCAACTGATTAGCTAGAGTAGAGCCCCTACTCTGTGCCAAGCACTGTGCTAAGCACTGGGGACAGAGTCCTTGCCATCACGAAGTTCAATGTGAACATTGCATAAGTACACAAGCGAATCTAGACATAAACTGAGGAAATGTGCAAAATGCAATGAAATATAATACAATTTATATCATTTAACTTGGGGGTCAGGAAGGGATTCCAGAGGGAAATGATACAGAGGCTGAAATCTGAAGAATAAGGAAGGTTTAGTGAAGCAGAGAGGGGGTGGGGGCAGAAAGTTCAGCCAGGTAGAGAAAAAGCAGGTGTGAAGGCTTTAAGGGAGCAGACACCTGACATATTCTAGAACCTGAGAGGCCAGCATGGCTGAGCTGCGGATGTGGAGAGACAGGCCAGAGAGGCAGGAAGGCACAAGAGAATGCAGTCACGTGAAGGGCTGTGGATTTCACCACAAATACAGTAAGAAGCTATTCAAAAGCTTTTAATCAGGGAAGTGACATGTTATTCGGAATGCTAACAGAAACTCAATTGTTAAAAGATCATTCTGTTTCCTGCGTGGAGGATGGAGTGAAAAGAAGGAAGAGCAGAGGAAGTGAGGAAGCTGCCTCAGTGTGCAGGCAAGAGACACAGTGGCTGAGGCCAGTGTGGAAGCAACAGAGAGGGAGACAGAAGTAGCCTTTGATTTTTAAAGTTACCTTTCTTCTAACAGCTCAAAATTTGTTCTGACCTAACATCTTATTTGACCCTGTCAAATCTGTGAGAGGCACCGGCACGGAAGGGTTAGTTGCACTAACACTGGGAAACAAACCGAATCTGAACCCGGAGTGTCTGATTCCTAAACTCGTCGCTCCTCTCTAGACCTGTGTGGTCAACTTGGTAGCCGATGGCCACAGAGAGCTATTTCTATTTAATTTCTAGTTAATTAAAATTAAATGAAGGTACAAATTCAGTTCCTCAGTCACACTAGCCACATTTCAAGTGCGCAAGAGCTACATGTAGCTAATGGCTACCATACTCGGTGCCACAGAATATCATCCTTGCAGAAAGTTGGACAGTGCCACACCAGACACATTGCTCTTAACCTTTTAGGGATCACAGACCCTTAAAACTAGCCCCAGAGAACCCTTGTACACTGCTGGAGGGAATGCAAGCTGGTGCAGCCACTCTGGAAAACAGTATGGAAATTCCCCATAAAGTTAAAAATAGAGTTACTCTACGACCCAGCAATTGCTCTACTAGGTATTTATCCAAAGGATGCAAACATAGTGATCCGAAGGGGCACCTGCACCCCAATGTTTATAACAGCAATGTCCACAAGAGCCAAACTATGGAAAGAGCTCAGATGTCCATCGACAGATGAATAAAGACGATGTAGTATATATATACAATGGAATATTACTCAGCCATCAGAAAATGAAATCTTGGCACTTGTAACAATGTGGATAGAACTAGAGTGTATTATGCTAAGTGAAATCAGTCAGTCAAAGGAAAACAAATACCATATGATTTTACTCATATGCGGAATTTAAGAAACAAAACAGAGGATCACAGGGGAAGGGAAGGAAAAATAAAATGAGACGAAATCAGAGAGGGAGACAAACTGTAAGAGACTCTTAACCATAGGAAACAAACTGAGGGTTGCTGGAGGGGAGGAGAGTGGGGGATGGGGTAAGTGGGTGATGGACATTAGGGAGGGCACATGATGTAATGAGCACTGGGTGTTATATACAACTGAACTCTACCTCTGAAACTAATAATACACTATATGTAAATGAACTTAAATGAAACTAAACTAAAAAAAAAAAAAAAAAAAACCCAGCCCCAGAAAATATGCACCAAACAAGTACAAACAAAAAACAGCACACACTTTCAGTAATTTTAAGGGCTCTGTTACCCATAAAACACAAAACTCACAGACTACAAGGATAGTCTGCATTTAAATAAGAACAAGTCAGTTTACTTATTAGATTCGCTGAGATCTGTGCTCCTAGAAGTGAAAGATGATGACATATTTGATAAGCACAGGTAGAGAAATAAACATTTATAGACCATGACCCCAATGCTACCGAAGTATGTTAGGTTTCACAAATTTGCTAAGAAGGACGTGAATGGAATAAAGCACCACAGTCACACTGACTCTTACGGTCTGGACAGAAGCAGCTTTTAGCGCCTCAGTCAGGATGGAGTGGGAAAGTGGACCGATCAACCGGAGCCTGTTCATCTCCATCGTCAAATCACTGAAAGAGAGAAAAGGTCTTAAGATGGAAACTTCCATCATATACAGTGTCTGAGCCACTGGTGAAAACAGAGCAAGTCTTCACTAAAATTGTTCAGTGGGTTCAGAGCAAATTCAGTCTGTACCTGATTATAATGCCTGTGGCTGGAGAGATCCAAGAAGATGGTTGACGTGGATCTCTAGTTCCATCACCGATGACTTTTTTAAAGGGTTTAGCATTTTCTCCATCATCTTTCCATTTTCTTTTCTTGCCAATTTTTTCATCAGGCAGTACAGTTTGGCTTTTTTCTTCGGATGTTGTCGGCAGGAGGCTGGGGATGCAGACGGCTGATTTGACGGGTTCCACACACTGGCACGCTGATTTGAGTTCCTCTAAAATATCCTAAGGAAATATTGAAACACTTCAGGTGGTTTAGTTCATGTTATTTTTCACTCCCTTTAAAAAATTTACATCTTGGGCGCCTGGGTGGCTCAGTTGGTTAAGCGGCTGCCTTCGGCTCAGGTCACGATCCCAGGTCCTGGGATCGAGCCCCGCATTGGGCTCCATGCTCAGCGGGAAACCTGCTTCTCCCTCTCCCACTCCCCCTACCTGTGGTTCCCTCTCTCCTGTCTCTCTCTCTGTCAAATAAATAACTAAAAAATCTTAAAAAAAAAAAATTTACATCTTTATCCCCAAATTAAATGAAATTCAGCATTATCAAAAAGTTTTCTGGGGCTTCTAAACAGTGCAAGGCATTTGAAACAAAAAACCTCCTAAGTGTCAGGGGTGCCTGGGTGGCTCAGTCGGTTAAGCGTCTGCATTCGGCTCAGGTCATGATCCCAGCATCCTGGGATCGAGTCCCACATCGGGCTCCTTGCTCAGCAGGAAGCCTGCTTCTCCCTCTGCTCTCTGCTTATGCTTTCTCTCTCCCTCTCTCTAACAAATAAAAAAAAAAAATCATAATAAAATAAAATCTTTAAAAAAAACTCGTTTATGAAGATTAATGAAAACAAAGATTAATGAAAACAACGCGACTACTCTGAGCAATTAACATTTTTTTGAAAATGAGATTAAAGAGAAAATTTATAGCCTACCATATAAAAGCAGTGAATAGACCAAAAAAAAAAAAAAAAGAATAAGAGAGTTTAAAAATCATCAGAATTACTAAAAACAGCTTCTCATCATCAAAGAGGCTCTGACAAGCACCTAGATACCAGTGAATTCAGGCCTCGTAGGAGCATTAGACCAATGCAGCATTTCAAGCCACTGTATAATACGTTGGGTTTTCATCTCTACTTTCACTATGGCTTACTAAAAAGTGAAAGATCAAGGTTTGCTTCATTTCATACTCACATAACATTCTTCCCTATATTTAAATACCAAGCTATCAGCCCAACTCTCATACTATTTAAATTTCCGAAGCACTGATTTCAATGGTAATTAAAAATGCAGTAACAGAGTCTCGAGGAAATAATCTCAAGGATTATACCTGTTTAAGCGTTGGATGAAGCCAGATCCACAACTGCCTGCTCTCAGAAGTGTGACCGGAGATCCTCTCAGACTTCCAAATAAATGTGACAGGCCCCAACATCTCTCGAGGGTATTTGTTTGCCCGATAAAGCAGGACGCTACCTTGGCGCTTCCCAGACAGGCAGTGAACTGCCGCAAAAGTCAGTCCTGACATAAACAAAGACAAAATGCCATGATCTCCAGTGCTGGGATGGCAGTGTCATCTCCCAATCGCCCTACTGCTACTTGTTGTCTATCTCCATGAGGGATGAGGTGCTGGTTTTGATCACTGCACAGATCAAAGCCTGGCACACAGTAAGTTCTCAATCAACAGTGACTGAATGATTTAATGAGGTTTGAGTTTCTGCCCAACTGAACTCACTCCACCAGAACAGTGGCTCTCTCACTTTACACCTGACAATGTTAGAAATGATTTGAAACCACCCTACCTTCCCCAACATTAACACACTCCCTGGGAACAAGAACTGTCTCACGCATTTTGAGATATGTTTAAATTCCAAAATGCTTACTTGCTCGTGACATGAATAAATATGCAAAGACTAAAATAGCGCTCAGCTTTGAAACACGTTTACCTGCATCTATGCTACACATCAGAGAAAGTGCCTTCAGTATTTCTTCCTCTTTGCCCTTCAACTCCAAACAACAGTAGTAGGATAAATCCTGCACAGAGGGAGAGACATAATTAAATACTTAGGAAGTGACATGGGGGAAAACTGTGAGAAGCCAAAAGCCACATCAGAAAAACTTCTACAGGTCCACAACACAGACCAAATTGCTAAAGCTATCATTTCATAAGTCAAAATCTGAAGCCTGTCTATTCCTAGGACATTAGGAAATGTTCTTAAACCAATCGAAAGCAAAATCAAAATGAATTTTCATTTAAAATGTTAAGTTATGGTGTCCTTTTCAGAAAGAAAATCTGTGGGTACGCCTGGCTGGCTCAGTCAGAGTTTGCTGGAAGCAAGCCAAATGTCCATTGTTGGATAAACAGATAAACCAGATACGGCATCACACACAATGGAGTACTACTATTCAGCGTCAAAAATGAGGGAATTCCAACACATGATACAACATGGCTGAACCTTGAAGACATTATGTTAAGTGAAATAAACCAGTCTCAAAAGGATAAATATTGTGTGATTCTACTTATATGAGGCATCTAGAATGATCAAATTCCTAGAGACAGGGGCGCCTGGGTGGCTCAGGCGTTAAGCGTCTGCCTTCGGCTCAGGATATGATCCCAGGGTCCTGGGATCGAGCCCCGCATCGGGCTCCCCCCTCAGCGGGAAGCCTGCTTCTCCCTCTCCCGCTCCCCCTGCTTGTGTTCCCTCTCTCGCGTGTCTCTCTCTGTCAAATAAATAAATAAAATCTTAAAAAAAAAAAAAAAAAATTCCTAGAGACAGAAAATAGAATGGTGGTTGCTGGAAGCAAGAGGGTGGGCAATGGGGAGTTATTGTTTAATGGGGGTAGTTTCAGTTTGGGAAGATGAAAAAGGTCTGGAGATGGATGGTGATCATAGTTACACAACAACGTGACTACAGTTAATGCCACAGAACTGTGCACTTCAAAATAATTAAAGGGGGTGCCTGGCTAGCTCACTCCATAGAGCATGCAACTCTTGATCTCAGGGTTTTAAGTTCAAGCCCCGCATTGGGTGTAGAGATTACTTAAAAATAAAATCTTAAAAAAGAAAATAATTAAAGTGGTAAAATTTGATGTTATGTATATTTTACCACAATTTTTTTAAAGGTTCTTATATTGATTATTCTGCTATATTGCTCTCAAGATCTTGGTATCAGACAATCTTAATATCAACGGCTTTCAAAACTTGGCCAAGGCTTCCAGTTAAGGAATGAATAGGTCATGGGGATAAAAGGCACAGCATAAGGAATACAGTCAATGATACCGTAAGAGCACTGTGTGGTGAGCACAGCATAACAGAGAGAGAAGCTGAATCACTATGTTGTACACCTGTGACTAATATAACATTATGTGTCAACTATACTCAGATAAAAAAGTTAAAAAAAAAAAATCTGGCCAAGGTCATCCTGCCATCCAGGCGGCCCCTGCAAAGAGCAAATTGCTAAGTATGTACTGGGAGAGAGAAAGCAGTTGATTTAGCAACTGCGGGCGGGGTGAGGGACAAGATAAATACTCTTACCAGGCTCTAAAACAAACTGTCCTCTCAAAAAATTTAAAACAAACTTCCTAGCATCCCACTGAATCCTACGCGTCTAGAACAGCATTCTTGAACATAGCTATAAGGGCACACAAGTATTTGTTGTAGAGGAACGACTTCTAAGGGCGTCAATGCTAAGGCTCGAACATGAGCACCAAGACCCCGCAGGACCGAGTCCTGAACTAACCTCACCTTCACGTCAGCCTTGGTCTCACTCTTCATCTTCCCTCTGACCTGACTTCCTTTGCCTCCCCAACTCCCCCACTGCCTTACCCCTTCGGGCTGAGCCCAGACATCACTTCCACTTTGTCTCAACAAAAAGAAAAAGAAAACAAGTTGGAAAAGCATACCTGAAGGAGGCAACGGTTTGTCATGGCTCGGTAGCAGGCTCTGTGGCTCTTCACCGTCGGCCTCTCCCCGAGACAGTAGCCCCACTTCTTGACCATGTGAAACCGCTTGGCGTGCCAGATGTGAGTTTCTAACCATATGTTCTTCTTTTGTCTACGGTTAAATTCTAGCACCCGTTTTTTGTGACATCTTCGAGCTCTATGGCATTTATTCTTTGAATGTTCTTTTTTCTGATGTACTGCTTTCTCGGCCTGTGGTTTCAAGGAGAGAGGCAGATCCTAGTTTGTAACTATCTCAAAACAAAGTTACATGTGAGGAATTCAAACAACTAACTTTAGATTAAGTGGATTCCATTAGTATGCTTAATTTTTTTTTAAAGATTTTATTTATTTGAGAGAGAGACAGAGAGAGCAAAGCAGGGGGAGGGGCAGAGGAAGAGGGGGAAACAGACTCCCCGCCAAGCAGGGAACCCGACATGGTGCCTGATCCCAGGACCTGGAGATCATGACCTGAGCCGAAGGCAGACGCTTAACCGACTGAGCCACACAGGCGCCCCAGTATGCTTATTTTTTTTTAACTTGATTATGTCTCCAAAGAAAGAGCAGAAGGGGAGGCAAGAGAGTGAAGATTTCAGAGATGGGCAAACTTAGAGAGGAAGCACAGTCCGATCACTTATTAACTGGGCAAGCTTTGTGGACTATGAGGATTAGAATACTTATAAAAGGCTCCACACAGTAACACAAGCTTACTGTGGCTATTCATATTAGAGAGCAAGAAAATAAATCAGATGCTAGCTTTTTTGTTACTGGTTTTATTGTATTTTTAACCTCTGAGATTAGAACTAAACACAAAACATAGGATGAAAAGTATAAAGTGAGGAAAACCTACATATTTCATGTTGGTTAGGTTCTAAGAGACAAATGCCAAACTGATCACTGGGAAACAAATCTTACATTACATCTAGAAAGCACAAAACTCCTGTTCAGTTTTCACTCTTAATCTCCTTCATAGCTGAGCAAAACTTTTGTGGGGGAAAAAAACAAAAACAAAAACAAAAACTCTTCCCCCTTAGTCTGTGGGCCGCTAAGGATAAAGACTCTATGTTGATGAACTCTAACCCCACCCCCAGTATAGTACCAGTACACTGAAGGCACTTCATGGAGAACTTTTGAATCAATTAGCAAAGATATGGGAAGCTTAGACAATCTGACAATGCTCAAGCCAAGGATTTTGGTGAAGCCAAAAACAACTAGACTTGAACAAAAATTAAATCCAAGTTTCAAGTTTTCAACGTTGAAAAAGTCAAAAGGCAAACACCAGGCATTGATGCTGCTTTTTTTTCTTAACCTTCCAACTTTGAGCTGGCCACACCCCAAAAAGGCAGAATTAAAATCGCTTATGTGGTAAGGTCAGGATTACATTTTAAATCTGGCAGGGGAGCAGGGGCGCCTGGGTGGCTCAGTCATTAAGCATCTGCCTTCGGCTCAGGTCATGATCCCAGAGTCCTGGATTGAGCCCCGCATCAGGATCCCTGCTCAGCGGGAAGCCTGCTTCTCCCTCTCCCACTCCCCCTGCTTGTGTTCCCTCTCTCGCTGTGTCTCTCTGTCAAATAAATAAATAAAATCTTTAAAAATAAATAAGTAAATAAATAAATCTGGCAGGGGACCATCAACTATTGAATGCCATTAAAAGAAAGGGCTTCCAACCTGAAACTAATTTAAAAAAAAAAAGTAGGAAAAAAAAAAGGAAGGGCTTTCAAACACTATGTGTAATATCCAACTGCCTGCTAATTAGATAGCAAGGGGGGTTGGGGGGGATCATGATTAAACCAAAAAAATATGCAAAATGAGCATGTTGCTTTTGGTTTTCATTTTAATTCTATTAGGTTAACACGTTTCAATTTCTTTTACGAACTACTAACTTAAACATTTACAGTAAGTGAAACCATACCTCTTTTTGGGCAATCTCCTGCAACCGCCTGGGAAGGCGCTTGACATTGTGGCTCATGGCTCTCCGTCTCATGTGCCGGGGCAGGGTCTGGAAAACCAGCGAATTAGAAGACTTCTGGGTCACTGCTTTCAACATAGCACTGATTTCAGCAGCTCGGGCTTGAGCAAAAGTAGAAGCTGCCGACAAAACAGCACCATCATTAAAGACAAGTCTTGAATCCATACTTCTGGTAGATCTCAGAAGGAAGAGAGATTTGAAGTACATGAGCTTACAACTCACCCACCACCTGAACCCCCAATTAGATTAATACCAAGAGTGGTTATTTCTGTATTATCAGATTATGAAACTATTCTGTTTCAACTTCTCTTTTCTACAAGGATTCAGTGTTACTTTTCTAATCAAATAAAAAGTTTAAAAGCAAGTTTACAAAGAATTTCTTAAAACAGAGGCCTACGTGCAATATAATCTCGACCATTTTTAAGTGCAACAATCACACAAGAAAACAAAGAAAAAGCAAGATTTTAACAATGGTTGTGACTTCAAGGGTTTGTTTTTTTTTTTAACATTTTCTGCTTTTTCCAAATATGTAGCCATAACTATTACTAGTTTTCCTTATAGAAAAACAGAATTTTTTGGAAGTAAACAGAAGGCACAGAGATTAGAAGGCACACCTTAAGAATATAGGGTTATGGGACAGCAGGGGTGACTGGAGACAAGGTCTGAAGGGGCCTGGAGACAGGTATTTGAAGGCCTTAGTTACCCTTGGAGTGCATTAAATTTGGTTTCATCTTTGGAGAATGTGTGCTGAGGAGTATAGATTTTATATTTAAAAAAAGGGTGGGGGAAGGGCAAAGAAGATTTTAGGACAAAAAGGAACAGTTCACAGATATGGACTTAGAAGAAGACAAAGAGGAAAAAAGAAACGGAAGAGGGGAGAGCAATCAGGTTCAAGGAAGCTACAAAGTCCAGGCTGGAGGCGAGAAGGGCCCAACGTGGAAGGAGGAGAGCAGAGATACACGGGGGCAGGGCCGAGACAGAGAGCCCTGGAAATCTGGCTGCGTTAGAAACAGAGAGCTCATCGTATAATCAAACTTCACTTCTTCACAAACACCTACCAGTTATATACTTGGGAATCTCCTGAGACGTGCCCTCGGGACCTGCTTTCCATCCTCCCTTCTTTTTAAACATTATTTTGGAGGAAGACTGTTCCTTCACATCAGGATCGACCGGGGAATGGTGGGTCATTTTGGTTTGCCGCTGTCGTGAAGTTCCAGAAAAAGGCTCTAGTTTATTTTCAAAAAGAAAACAGAAAGAAGTATGTCAGCCTTACCAAGGATCTGGATTACAGTGGAGAACACCATTTGCTGGGTGGCAACATTAATCATGTTTTTAATCCTAAAACCACCCTGTAAGGTGGCTATTATTATCTTCCCTAAGGGAATCTCGGATGGGGAGGTGAATTACCTTGCCCAAGGTGATGTTGCTAGCAGGCAGCACACTGGCTAATCTTGTGAGCCCACCTTAACCTTGCATATAACTGATACAAGGGACCTTTTCTCCAAATAGTACAGATTTTAAATCTAAGCTCCCTTAAATGCTACAATTTACATGATTTTGTATATTCAGTCTTTTAACATAAATCTCTGGCACATTCAAGTTGGGAGCCTGTGCTAAAGTAAAGAAAGAAAGAAAAGCAAAGTCCCTAGGAGTGCCTGGGTGGCTCAGTTGTTAAGTGTCTGCCTTCGGCTCAGGTCATGGTCCCAGGGTCCTGGGATGGAGCCCTGCATTGGGCTCCCTGCTCCGCGGGAGGCCTGTTTCTCCCTCTCCCCCTCCCTGGCATGTGTTCCCTCTCTCTAGCTGTGTCTCTCTCTGTCAAATAAATAAATAAAATCTTAAAAAAAAAAAAAAAGGAAAGTCTCTATACCAATGTCTTGGCGTGGAAACCACTGACTTTAAGACAACATCAAATCCCTGTCTGCAAATGGAGGGAAAGATCAGTAGAGAATTTTATGGCGTTCCAGCTTATTTCCATCATAGTGTTAATTATTAAGCCCCTGTAAACCATGAAACATGTTACAAAGTTTGTCACTGGGAGGTTTAAATGAGATAGTATGTGTGAAGGCTTATTACATGGCATAGTAGGCATCAACTGCTGGATCTGAATCTAAATCTTAGGAATATGAGTCTAAAACTTACTTAATCAGACCCAGTGCACACTCTTCTTTAAAGGGTCCCCCAAAAGTCCTTAGTCACCTGATTGCTGTCTTCCCAAACTGGCATTTTCTATTGCTACCCAATGAACACTATTACCTTCATATCACCCTATAAGGTTCTATAATCAGCACACAAGTTAAATGCAGATACGATAAACACACTGTCCTTCTTTTAGGAAATAAAATAGTGTAATTTTTTTTAAAGATTGATTGATTGATTGATTGATTGATTTATCAGAGAGTGAGAGCACAAGCAGGGGGAGTGGCAGGCAGAAGGAGAAGCAGGCTCCCCACTGAGCAAGGAGCCCGCTACAGGGCTCAATCGGTCCTGGGATCATGACCTAAGCTGAAGGCAGACGCTTAACCAACCAATTGAACCACCTGGCGTCCCTAAAATAGTGTAATTTAATAGTAATTGTGTTAAGGTAGAGATATACCAGCTCTAAGATACATACAGCCAATTCTTATTCCCAGTAGTTATGCCTATAAAGTCACAAAGAACACTGAATAAGCAAATACTGAAGCACTGTTCCTGGAGGAAATGTATACACACACACACACACACACACACACACACATATATCACATCAATTGCAATCTCATATCATAGAAACAACTCATCCTGGTACATTGTTTCCTTTATTTACAAAGGAAAAAAGAGATTCAGAAGTGCTAAGTGATCTGCCTGAGGCTGCCCACAACCGGAACTCAATCCCCAGAGAGGGAGCTCCCTGTGTTCTGCTGCGCCGCCCTGCTACAGTCTCCCCACTCTGGTCATCTCTGTAAGAAAGGAGAAGCAAGAAGGCAGCTGGGAACCTCAGCTAAGAACGTCCACATGGGGTGACTCAAATTCTTCCCTCTCTTTGCAAGTCCACGAATGGGTTACAAATCAGCTTAGCGACTAGATGAATTTGCAAGTACAAAATGTGTGAATAATGAGGGTCAACTGTATCTGTTTTTAATGCAGGTCATTTACTATTTAAATAGTAACTATCAAAAAGAGCTGACAAGGGGCGCCTAAGTGGCTGTCAGTTAAGCGTCTGCCTTCAGCTCAGGTCATGATCTTGGGGTCCTGGGATTGAGCCCCAAGTTGGGCTCCCTGCTCAGTGGGAAGTCTGCTTCTCCCTTTCCCTCTGCCCCTCCCCCTGCTCATGCATGTGCTCACGCTCGTATGCACGCGCTCTCGCTCTCTCTCTCAAATAAAGTAAAAATCTTAAGAAAAAAAAAAAAAAGCCAACAAAAGCATTTTGATCCAAACAGAGTGGCGAGAGTACTGTGTGTCTCTTACCTTGTTTTTGAGCTTGGAAAGGTCTCCCACCTCCATTATGGTACTTTGTGCTCCTTTCGGCCACAAAGCCAGAAGATAAAGTCACATTAGTGGGCTGGTTTCTCATTTTCTTAGCATGTTTTCTTTCTTTTGCATTAGACATTTCTGGAAAGAAAGTAATAAATTTAGTACAAGCAAAGGGAACTTCCATGCAAAATTAAAATACATTTAGTAAATAAATATTCATGTAACTCAAAATTTGATTCTTCATTTATTATAGGTGGGCTGATGATATCAAAATGTTATCACGATACTGATCTACAGCAGTGATTTATCACCAGAGGCATCTCTAGGGGAGCCATGAATGGTATTAACACCAAAAACCCAATTCAATAGGAGAAAAATAATTCTATTGATCAAAGAGACCATTATTAGTATATTTCAGATTGCATCATCAGAAAATTCAATCATATCCCAATGTTGACACAGCATAAAGTCTACTCAAAGAATGAATAATGAGGTATGAGATAAGAACCCTCTGCCACAGCGAAAATTCTTAGGTGAAACAAGAGCCACCTGAATCAATGAAATACAATACACACTATTCTGATATGATACCCTCCACAAAAACTGAACATAACTGATGCTTTCATTTCTGCCACAGAGATGAGGCCAGCTGTACCTTTATTTTATTTATTTATTTTTTTAAAGATTTTATTTATTCATTTGACAGAGAGAGACACAGCGAGAGGGAACGCAAGCAGGCAGAGTGGGAGAGGGAGAAGCAGGCTTCCCGCTGAGCAGGGAGCCCGATGCGGGGCTCGATCCCAGGACCCTGGGATCATGACCTGAGCCGAAGGCAGACGCCTAACAACTGAGCCACCCAGGAGCCCCTGTACCTTTAATATGTAACAGCCAAAAGATTTCACTTTAAAATAAGGATAAAGGACAAAACCCTGGGGAAGCCTGATGGCTTTACTCAGTAGTTTGCAACTCTCAAACTCAACAACCCCCTTTTTCTTTTTCTTTTTTTAGATTTATTTATTTGAGAGAGAGAAAGAGCAGTGGGGAACAGGCAGAGAGAGAGGGAGAGAGTCTTGGGCAGACTCCCTGAGTGTGGAGTCTGACGCGGAGCTCCATCTCAAGACCAAGATCATAACCTGAGCCGAAATCAAGAGTCAGACACTTAACTGACTGAGCCACCCAGGCGCCCCTCCCCCCTTTTTTCTGAATGGTTTGAAACACCTGTTTTCTATTTTGAAATGAAATTCATTAATAACATAACCTACTAGACACATAACTTTTACCAATATATACCCTATAATATGGCCCTGACTATAACATAAAGGAGAACTAAATAACAAAATAATGTGTGCTTTCTGTATGTAAGTATTTCACCACTACTGGGTGACGTTATATAACAGGGAGGTATTCTGAACTCGGGTATAATTAGCACAACATAAGCACCAGTACAAGCACTGGCACAATCTGTCAAGCTGGAAAAGAGGCCTGGAAGCCCCCATGCCATAGGCATTAACTCTGTTCTTACTAACTATAGGGAAATCTGAAGAATCCTGTGCAAAGGAGAGCAGCTCAGAGTAGCAGAGCCAAGCCGTTCCCAAAGCATTTCAGTATTTTTATACTAGTCTTTCCTGGTACCTATACAGAGAATTACGACGAATGCAACAGTTACAAAGGTACAGTAATACAGCAGGCTGTACTGTGCCTCAAAGAGAAGGCAGCAATGCCACTGGTGACAGTTTTCCAAACTAGTGAACACCCCTTGGTAAAGTAGCAGAAGGAGGGGAGGGGTAGGGAGGATAGTCTTGTTTTGATTTATTGCATTCTTGGAAAATGCAGTGTATACTAAAACCACGTAACTGATCCTTTGTGCTTTTATGTAAAACAGGTATTAGGCTACTGTGGGACTTTCCTACACACTCCAGCATGTCTAACATCCCTGGGCCCTGCCTGATAAATGCCAGCAGTGTTACCCACTCATTATGCCAACCAAAAACACCTGCACAAACTAACAGACTGCCACATCAGGAATCGCACCACTCCTACTGAATGCCACTGAATTAACTACCACCCATTCACTTACCTCTTTCCCAATGCAGGGCTTCATTCAAAATTAAGAGTAACCAGTGCTGTGTAGTATTTAAGAACCCTTCCTTCGGAGTTAGAAAGATCTGGGTCAAATACCTTCCGTAACACTTTTTAGTTACATAATCGTAGGAAAGTTACTTTCCCTCTTTGAGCCTCAGTACCCTCCTCTATAAATGGGAATCATCACAAGGTTGCTGTGAGAATAAAGTAATGTACATAATATACTGAGCATGGCACTTTGCAAAAACTAAGGGCTTCATTTAAATTGCTATTATTCTCAAACAGAGTGAGAAGAGAGAGAAGATAAAACAGCAGGCCAGAGTAGGCAGATTGAAATAACAGAGATTATGTCATTTCACCTTCTCAGTCCATTCTGCTTTCACCTAAATGAAAGAAAACTACATGTACACCCAAAACCACTTTTTTAAATTTAAAAAATATATGGGGGGGTGGGGGGGTGGGATTGGGGGTGGGGGGCAGCAGCCCTTTCTGCCCATGGGTCCTGTCCCCTTGTTTAATAAAACCACCATTTTGCACTACAAAAAATAAAAAATAAAAATAATATATATATATACACATATACACATGAAGTAAATGAAGTTCTGCAGAACTAGTCAGCTAGTGAATGACATGGTTCAGATCAGTCTGCATTAAGAACCATTCAGAATGATTTTACAGAACAATTTAGTTCACCTACTATTATCTGCTTGAATCAGAACTTACCCAGCAAGACAGAGCACTACCTGGGAACCCTGGTCTACTCAGCACTAGAATAGGCCAGGAGCAGGCTGGGACTCGGGGATTGGGGTAAGCTTTGATACCAGACTAAAAAATTAGCATACTGACCTAGCAGTGGTCCTCAAACAGTTCTAGCACCAGAAGAGAATGAATATAGACTATATTCTTATGAGGTCTGAAGATTTTGCTTAAAAATAGCTTCCAGAAGCAATCTTAACTCTTACCTGAACAATTGGGTGAGTTTCAGTATATTATTCAGTTTTTGTGTTTCCACATTTACTCATTTAGCTTTAACAAGCACTAAGTATGTGTCAGGCTTTATAAAACTGTTTTCCCCAAAATCTTCAAATAAATTGGACATATGTTTTCTCACACAGCTTGTATCACCTGGTTGACCATTTTCACCCCTTTAAAATGGACTCCAGTTTGACAGCCTGGGAATTAACCAGATGATCTCTGATTTCTTCCAGATCTAAAAAGTTGGTGATTTAGACTTGATATAAAATCTGCCTTAAGAATACCGGTGTCTTGGGCGCCTGGGTGGCTCAGTTGGTTAAGCGACTGCCTTCGGCTCGGGTCATGATCCTGGAGTCCCGGGATCGAGTCCCATATCGGGCTCCCTGCTCAGCAGGGAGTCTGCTTCTCCCTCTGACCCTCTTCCCTCTCGTGCTCTCTCTCTCTCAAATAAATAAATAAAATCTAAAAAAAAAAAAAAAAGAATACCGGTTTCTTGGGGCAACTAGGTGGCTTAGTTGGTTAAGTGTCCGACTCGGTTTCAGCTCAGGTCATGATGTGGGATGAAGTCCCTCACCTGGCTCCATGCTCAGTGCGGAGTCTGCTTGTCCCTCTCCCTCTGCTCCACCCCCCACTTACACACACGCTTGCTCTCTCCCTCTCTCTCAAATAAATAAGTAAATAAATAAAATCTTATTAAAAAAGAATACAGGTATCTTGTTTCACAAGAAACATTTTACACAAGTTAAATTACTTGTAATGCCCCAAGAGAACTCCTTATTTAAAGAATCACATGGTGAATTATTTTGTAATAAAAAGCATCTCCTAATTGTCCAGTTTAATCAAATTTAACAACATTTTGGTATCTATTCTTGCTCATTAGTTTTAGGCTGTGGGTATACAAAAGCAGCATAAGGTTGTGGCCTCTTTCCTTAAAGAATTTGGTTGTCTTAAACAGCTAACGTTTATGGGGAACTTTATGTGTCAAGCATTAGTCTACACGCCTTACTCATTCGATTCTCAAAGATTCTATGAGGGAGGTACTCGTACTACCCCCATTTTATAAATGAAGAAACTGAAGCAGAGAGGTAACATAACCTGACTAAGGCCAATAAGATTGTAAGTGTGCTGGGAGCCAAACCAGGCAGTCTGGCTCTATTCACTATTTTTAAGACACAAAACAATTAGAGAACAAGACTACACACATTAAAAGACTAAATTTTGCAGTATAGCACAATAGGACGCTGAGTAAGAAGGGAAAATGTGGATCCACAGGGAAAGCCAATGAGAAAATAGAATTTCAGTTGTTTGGAATTTGGATAGTGAAGAAAGAGTATTCAGGAATCTTCTGTGTGATTTCAGGAGTGAGGCCTCTGGATGACTTGAGTGGGATGAGACAGTAGGAGGGGATAAAACTGAGTAGGCCAGGGAAACCAGACTGGAAGTTCTATTTTATTACATGCTTGAAGCCCCAAACCAATGAAAAAGCTCTAAAGGCTCTTGAGCAGAAAGTAGGAAAACCAAACCTTTCCAGTATATAGGACAAATGAGAAGGAATGACGAGGATCTTCTTACATTACGTTTTAGAAGCAGGGCAGGGCAGGAATCTTAGACCTGTCTTTTTCACAGTTGTCCCTCCAGCACCTAGCAATGTGCCTTGCACAAAATAGGGCTCAATATATATTTGTTCAATGTAAACCTGCAAGCATAAATGGAGTGAAGCGTGCTTATAATACATTTATTTACAGAATGAGAAATATTTGGCCAAGTACCACTCCTTCTGACACGGCATGACTATCTGCCAAGAGACCAGCCTATCTTGTATCTTCCTTTTTGAAATCAGATCCCAGTCACTAGGGCTCGGTTCAGACCTAAGGGGAATGCGTAGAGACCTTGTGAAGCTGGAGGAACACTCATGAATGGGAACATGGGAGGGGCTGAAAGTGGACGACGCCCAGATCTCAGCGTGGTCCCCTTAATGACCCAACTCATTCCTTCAGAGTGCCTGGCAGGACGGGGGCGCAAGCCCATTCCGAGGACGGCATCCGCCCGGCGGGACAATACGGGGAAATGACAAACGCA